CTAAATGGCCACTTCAAGTAGTTTCTGTGAAACTTCAGCACTTGGGTTTTCTCAATTGGAGGTTAGCTTTTCACTTAGTGCATTAATGCATTATTAATCGTGAGGGTAAGCATCTTCTAATGCCTGTGGTATGAGCTAGTGACAATATTATTACTCGCCGTCAACGTCCTGGGACGTAATCATCCACCATAATGAGATTCATATTCAGCTTATAGCATCAGGTAAACATGTTCATACTTCTTGAACGTTTCTATCACTTTACACTTTACAGCCACGAACTTGAAAGTATTTCATGTGGCTTTTATGTGACAAACATAAAAGCCACATTTATAATTGTGAAAGGGGAGGAAAACTCCACATGATGTTCAAATGTCTTTTACACTGTGACATCTGAAATGTGTGGCAGGCTTTTGCATTTTTGTAGAACCATCTTGTATTGTTTCATAAAATCTATTTGTGCTTTAAACTTCACCACTACTTTCTCCCTGGCCTGTCCACTGTCTTCGTGATGCAAGTTTATTTATTAACTAGGTGACTCTTAAAGACAGACCATTGAAACTAGTTTTCTTTAGAGGAATATAAGTAAAGGGAGTCGAATACAAATGCATGTCAGACTTTTCCGACTTTTGAATTTCATCTTTTTTGGGGAAAATAAATGAAAATCGTGTTTTATCTTCCTTCCACTTCACAATGATGTGCTACTTTGTGTTTGACTATCAAACAAAATCAGAAACAAAATGCATAGAAGCTTGTGGTTGGAAGTGTGAAAACACACCAGAACTATGAATGCCTTTGCAAGCCACTGTAAAAGAAATAAGTGGGCTAATTCTGTAAAAAAAAAGTCTTTGTTTTTAGTTTTTTTGAACAGGGTGTTTTTTTTCCCTTTTAACCTGTACATTATGCTGGAAAAACTGCTGACATAAGCTAATCGGTGACTAACTGTGACCAGAATGGATGAAGAATCACCGAAAGTCTAAGAGGAGGAACAGACAACCACATTTAAAAAAAATGTTAGAATAATTTTTGTTTCGAAACCACACTGTCACTTCACTTCCAGTATTTATTTGGCCTCCTCCTCTTTCATCGTCAGAGGTGATGACAAACAGTATTTCATTTAAATATGGAAGTTCCCACTCATCCTGTTCGGCAGTCCATGGCCTTAAGGCTTCCTCTGTCACACTTTGAGCACAACAACTCTGCTGAGAAATGTTTCCCTCACATTGTGTTTTGGGGGTCTTTTAGTTTTATTGCCTTGATTTTCCACCAGCTTTTTTAATTGGGTCCCTGCTATGAAAACATCTTGGATGAAAAGATGCTGATTGTAACAAAACTCTTTTGCAGCAAAACAACAACAACAAAAACAATGCAGTTTTTAAATAAATGGTCCAGGAAATGACGTAATAAGGCCTGAAGTTACCAACCTGTTTTTGATTGAGAAAAGGACATGGTAGATTTAGATTTTTAATGGCCTTGTTTCCTCTGATCACACACAGTTGATGTGCAGCATGCCTTTTGCTAAGGTGCTGCAGGGGTGTAAGCTGCCCCGTAATCTGAGGGGCAGGAAGTCTGTTGGCCACATCCTTGCAGAAATCATTTCTACTCTTTTCTTTTTTTTTTTTTTCATCGAATTGTGCGATCCAGACTGCTTCCAGTATCAGCTTTGTAATCAGCTCTGTGGCACTTCGGGGAGGAAAAAGCGTTACATCCTTTTAACAGCAGGGAGTTCCAGACTCGTATAGTTTGTCAGCAACGTTTTTTTGATGGACTAAATAGAAAACATATTTGCTCCCCAAGCCTCACGTTTAGGCACAAAACTAAGACGTAGCAGTTTATTGGGGGTTACACAAGAATTTTGATTTGCACCTGATAAATAGGATTTCAAATGAATCATCCTTGACAGATTTACAGTACTCCTTGTCGCCATGTGCAGACAGATTTATGACAGAAGTTGCTACTTATTGATTCTGGGTTAATGAGGCTGATTGATCAATAGGGGGAGAGGGACAGGGGTAAAAGCCACAACTCATTAACTATGCATGAGTATGGAAAGAAAACTAATCGTCATTATCCAAAGTGTCACTCAGCTGAAGGAGTGAAGGACAAACCCAAGCCCACGCATGACGAATCAGAGGGCAGACGCTAATTCACTTATCATTAAACACCGTTACCTCTGTGCCCACGTGTGTGCAAAGTGAAAACCACACGCATTGCAAGCACTGAGCACAATCTGTCACACAGAGACAGACGTATTGATCAGACCCAGATAAACAGAGTAAGGAGGCAGAGGATAGCCTCGTGCAATTGGATAGTGATCACTTAATGGTCTTTTATTAAGGGCATTGTAATGGGCTGAGATGGCTCACCTTGAAGTAAACACAAATGACTTAAAACTTTTTTAAAAAGTCCTCCATCCAGAATATATTAGGATTGACAGGATATCCAACCCTCTGTGGAACAATAAAGGCTATTTCTATTCTATTTGTTTAGCAATAAGTCCCGCAAGAATGTATTCACCTTCATCCGTCTCTGCAACCCACATAAAGTTTTATTTGTGTTCCCTCTTTAAGCTGCATCAGTTGGTGTTTATTACAAGCTATAAGTAAATTTAGTGCCCTGTAAAACTTCCCTGAGATGTCTTGAAGCTTACATCTGAGCAAAAGAAGATAAAGTCCTCTCGAACGCTAATGTGAATATTAAGTGAGGGCACTCCCTTTAGAGGAGCATCAGCAAATTTGATCAGTGAGGAATAAATGCAACATTTTCTAGAAATAACTGTTTTTCAACCAATTCACTGGTACTATTGCTGGTGACCTTTATTCAGGTCTTGTTCTGACATGTTACAAGGTTTGTTTACATATCGATACAATAAAACACAGCTTAATAAAATCTCAGTTTATCACCACTAAAAAGGCAGTTTTCCTGTGGATGGGAGACTCAATGTGGCTGAAAAAGTCTGTTTCAGAAAAGCATCCATGTCAGAATGGACTGGACCTTAAGCGTCTTTGTAAATCCTCTCTAAGTAATGATAAACTCATTTGATGCCATATTTCAAGTGATAAAATCAAGTGAATTCCCTCCGATAGTTGAAACTCTCAATCCATATATTTGTCTGTGGATTTGCTTGATCCACCTCTTTTCTGAGATTTTCAAGATGTTTGCTTTTCACATTCATGAAGTTACACTCATGTTCTCATTATTCATCCTGACTAATGCTGCTTTTGACTAAATGATCCCAACTGAGGCTTTAGACCACTGACATCTATCTGCTTCAGTCAGCAACTTAAAAACCATAAGTAATATGTTTAAGTGATATCACCCAGAGCTAAAGCGAAACAGATATTTCTCTCAAGAGCTCAAAAGGTGAAGATTATTTCTTTAATTACTTATCTTCCTGATGCCAACTTATGAAAAGAAGCTGCAGTATTAATGCAATGCAGAGTTTTTTTTGTTTTGTTTTGTTTTTCACAAATCATCAAATCAGTCCTTGATCGTGAAAAGTCTCACAGGGAAAATAAATTCCCCTCAAAACTTATCTACATTTCTGAACGACCTCTTATTATGGCCATTTGGACTCAATTGAGGCTTCCAATGTGAAACAAATAAAGCCCAAATGCTCCCTTACTTGTTTATTTTATAGGAAACCACATGAATGCTCTCCGTTTCCAGTAACACAATAAGATGTATGCAGCCAAAATGGCCAATAGACAGCTCCTCCTGCGTTTTAATCATTGCTCATCGCCTGTTTCTCAGGCAAACCGACTCGCTTCTGAAATCTTAGTCTGCCACAAGTCTGGCTCACACAGCTCTCCTGTCAATCACGAGCACATCTGAGACCTGAATGGTGCCCACAATGCCGGTTTGATAGATGGACTAGAAATCAAACCACAGAAGAAGAAACAATGTGCTCAAACGATACCAGACATATGTTGTTTGTGAGCTACCCATAAAACAAAAATAAATAGATAAATCGGTTTATTGTTCTACAGACGCAGATTACTTTACATAACTAAGAACATATCACAGTATTTGTATTGGTCTATTGTGCACAGTGTTTTTCTCCCCCTCACAGCCATATGTTTAACACACTAGCTGAGCTCAGCAGCTGGACAGCCCGGTCACACTTCCTGCAGACATATTGGACTCTTTAAATGCGTGGAGGAACAGGCAGGGGAGGCGAGGTTGAAACAGGGTGGGCGCTTTGCTCTTGCAGGAAGAAGAGGGGGTGGAAATCTGTAGGAAATTGCTGTTAAGTGGTTCTTGAGGTTTTTGTGGTTTTAGACTCATCAGACCCCAAGTGAGCGGATGGTCCTGCTCTGCAGACCTTCAAGTGAGGTTTCGAAGGGGCTGCAAACAATAACACGGTCTTGGATCCAAAGCTTTAATCATACATGAATTGAGGTGATTTAATGAAAGAAGGGTTACGGCTACTAAAATAAGTGTGTGATTAACCTGGCAAGTTTGGCTGTAGCTTCACTCCTTCAGGTATAAGAGTTTGAAAGCACATTCCTACCCTTTGAACTTTTTCACTTTTTTTTTTTTTTTTTTTTTTTTACATGTATTTATGAGGGGTTTTATAAGACAAAAAATCTCAACATAATGAACCATTCTGAAGTGGACGGAAAAGAGACACATTGTTTTCCAATATTGTTATAAATAAATCAGAAAAAGTGTGGTGTGCTGTATTTGTCACAAGACATCTTATTTTTCAGCAGAGACATGAAAGTTGGTCAGAATTGATGTAGGAAATAGTGTCAAAATCTGTCAAAGATTTGAGACTAGTCTGGGAGTTTAATGACTAAATATTTCGCCTTAATCTTGTGTTAGAATGGTCTAGTCCAAGTCCACATGGCATAGGCATAGATTCCTATGCCATGTCACAACAAAATAAGAAAAAATATAAGAAGTTGACATGAAGGATGTTAGGCTCATTGAAGAAACATTCTGACGAGTGAATGCGTTGAATCAAAATACCTAACTGGACATTTCTTCTTGTCATCTAGAAACCTGATGCCCCGGACTCTGGACGGCCAGATCACCATGGAGAAGACACCAAGCTACTTTGTAACCAAGGAGGCATCCAGTCGTGTTTGCACAATGAACTGCCACACCAAGCTCATCGTTGTAGTGAGGGACCCGGTAACACGTGCTGTATCCGACTACACCCAGACACTCACCAAGAACCCGGGACTACCATCCTTCCAGAGCCTCGCTTTAAAGAACTCCTCCACAGGACCGGTAGACTCCACTTGGAGCGCCGTGCGCATCGGCCTCTACGCCAAACATCTGGAGAACTGGCTCCAGTATTTCCCCCTGTCTCACTTTCTGTTTGTCAGCGGTGAGCGACTCGTGTCCGATCCTGCCGGGGAAATGGGACGGGTTCAGGACTTTCTGGGCCTGAAAAGAGTCATTTCAGATAAACATTTCTACTTCAACCAGACTAAAGGTTTTCCCTGCTTGAAGAAGCCGGAGGGGAGCAGCAGGCCTCGCTGCCTCGGGAAGTCAAAGGGCCGACCTCACCCCCAGATCCCGTCCGAGGTTCTGCAAAGACTCAGGGACTTCTACAGACCGTTCAACCAGCGTTTCTATCAGATGAGTGGACAAGACTTTGGCTGGGACTGATGAACGACGATCAAGCCTGCCTTAAGAAAAGCCTCTTGATGTTTCTTTAAAGTTTTGGAAATCTAAGATTCTCAGGGAGGGGTAAAGGCAAAGATCTTTTTGCCTGTAAATGCAACCTGACATGCAACACTCATAAACTGCAATAGTTTGTAGAGGTGGAGCTGAGATGGACCCAGTGCTGCTAAAATGCAAATATACACATTGAGGACTTGAAACCACTGTCATTTGGTTTGAAGGTTTCATTTTCTTTCTTTTTTCTTATCTCGTTCTTTGTTTATAAGATGGCATCATATTTATAGTTTATGTTGTTATGAATAACATGTTTTTATAAAAAAAATAAACCTTTTATTTATTACCATGTACTTGTTATTACATGGCAAAGAAAGACATAAAATGGCTTAACTGACAGGACATTGGGAATAATGTCATACTACAGCAATGCTTTGACACTTTTATTTTTTTGTTCTGTTTTCTGTTTCACCCAAAACAAGACAATCAGATTATTTGCTACACACTGCAAAAAATTTGTATTAATTGCAGTTGAAATACAGTTTATACCTCAAATGTAAATATCCAATTAAATCTACACATACAGATGTTGTATTAGTGTTTATTGTGATTTTTTTTTTCTCAATTTCATGAGTTTCACAGAGAACCAGGTTTATCTGTTCATCACAAATGGTTATGTAGTCATTAACTATTACAAAAAAAAAAAAAAAAAACATCGGTCAACATCTGCAAACGTCTCCATCTGCCAAAATTGTAGTGGTATACTTAAGATGTGAACTTGAACTACCATTCAGATTCTTTACTGTCTCCAAAGAAGGATTTAGAGGAACAGTAAAGATCAGAATGAATTTTTTTCTTTTAGATGTTAGTGGATTGAAAAGAATGAGAAAATAGAGCAGCATATCAGATTTAGTTAAATGCCCAATCAACAAAGGGGAATTACCTGAGTACTGAGTGTAGGTGTCATTGTGAAATAAACCACTGCCAGCATAAAAGTGCGCTTTGATGCGAACAAGGCTGAAAAGGGCCACATTGAAGGTAACTGCAGCTGGATTTTAAAACAAAGAATAAAAGCTTTTTTTGCTCCATGTAGACAAATAAAACCTTGCGTTTGAATGCGGTTGAGTGATTAAGCAGCAAGTTGGAAAGAAAACACACACAAAAACCAGAGAAAATTTTTATCTAACATTTAGCAAAAAAAAGAAGTCTAATTATTTGATTTGGACTTTTTTTAAATATAAAATTCAGTCATATAAACAATTCCTTTCTGTTTTAACATTATTCCGAGCTAGTTTTGCTTCATGTGGAATTGCACATTGTTTATTCTGTGAACGATTGATTTGTTGTTAATAATCTGATCAAGTAAGTGTACATCTATCCATCCGTCATCTATACTCGCCTTGAGTTTTGAAGTGCTGGTGTTGATGGTGAAGTCCAGGAGAGAACCAGGATATAAATGGTTCATTTTACAAGTATGTTTTGCTTTGGTCTTTCACAAAGCAAATACAAACAAAAACACATTTTTGCTCATGAGGTGAGATGCGAGTGGTTCTGATTTCCTTCTTGAAAGTCTTGAAACAGTGTGGCACTTTGGTATAAATGTTTTTGTTTGTTTGCATTTCGGAAGCTCAGCTTTGTGGAAATAGCTTGAAGGATAAAGGTCAGTACAGGCACTTCTCCAAACCGTGCCATGCTCCAGAGAAAGTAGGAGTGAATTTCGCTGTGTTCCGATCAAAATAAACGAACTGGTTTTTGTTAGTGTGTGCGAGTCTGACTCAGTACCGAGGTCTTTCCCAGCCCTGAACTGGGTAAGTCATGTGGCACTGGCACTGCAGCTGTGTCCCCATAGAGCAACCAATGATCCTGTTTTCATTCATTTGGAAAGGAATAACAGGATGTAATGAACCAAGGCTTTTTTACCAGAAACCATGTTGGAATTCTCCTCAAAAACAGAAAACCCTCAGTAACAGGTCAAGATTTTATCCATCGGAGAATTACAGGATGCAGAGGACAATAGTTTTTAGCAGCGCCATATCAAATAATCACTGTTAAACCTCTGAAGACGTGCAATTTAAAGGGTTTTAATAGCAGTAGAGTGCTTGACATGTTTAGTGTTTTATTGTTGACACTGAACTCTGGAGTCTTCACTTTTCTCATATCACAACAGTTGACCTGCACTTTTTAAGTTTATAAAATGTTTTGTGCTTAAAATTACTTTCCAAAAAGTGACTTTAGCCTCATTTGCTACAACAATGTGTTTTGTTTGTTAGGAGGAATTAAACATGTAAATTGAGACAACCACTTGAATCTGAGAGAGTTAAAGATTCAGGTGATGGCAAGGCCTTTCAGCCACTCCTCACAAAAACATGTGAGGAGTGTGAAAAAAAAACTTGTGAAAAAATACCAAAAACTGGTTAACAATTATAAGGGTGTGACTTTTAAAATGCAATTAAAGGTTGTTTTTTTCTGTTGAATAATGAAAAAGAGAAAGGTATTGTGGTTTGAATACATCTCTTCCTCTTTTAACAGCACTACATCATCGTCGCTCGGCATTTATTGGTTTTTAGCAAAACCAGCGCTCTAAATATTCAACAGGTATTACGTGTTTTATATACGGTGTAATTTTGCTCCGTTCCACATTGATTTCTTAACTTTAGCTGTTTATCGTGGCACCATTAAAGAGAAATCACATGGTCCTCTTCATTCCCTCCACAATGGAGGCCACATGTACAGTTTAAGGCCTGTGTGTGTTGTGGCCTTTAATTACAGTAGATGTGAGCTCACACAGAAACCCCTGCTTCTTTTTTTGTGGGCTTAGAATTAACAACAGAGCTCTTTTTATTCGCGATGTAGTGGCCTGTAAGGTTAAAAAAAGAACAAGCATCTTCACTGGTGAAACAACCAAGAAGGACAGGAACCCAGTGGAAAAACAAAACCTACCCCAGGCTCCGTAACAAGTGGAAATTTGATTGAACAAAACAAAACAAAAAGACTTCTAAATGATTTAGACTGAGCTTTTTTTGTGGAAATATCTGAGTTGCAAATGAAATTACATTTGTAATTATGAGTTTTATGAAATGCACACATCACACACTCAGCACCTTCTGCCTCTGTAAATTTCAGTCAGGATTTCTGTTTTGTTGCTATTCCTGGCTTTAGTTTTTAAAGACCCACACTAAAATTTTAAATATCCAACTCTAACTTCCCTCCTGAAGTGTTTTGCCACTCTGTCGTAATTACACGGCATGCCGACAGAGCTGTGCTGTGCCAGCCCAGCAGCCTGCATGAACAGATACACTCATTTTGCCATGTGGAAAAGACATTAATGTCCTTAAAGGGCAATCCCCAGAAGTAAGCTTTCCCTAAATCAGCATAACATCATGGCACTTAGGATAATCTACAGCTTTCACTAAACACTTTTAATTATGTGAGAAATTCAGCTGAGTTGAAGGACATGCAAGTAGAGGCCTGTTGTGATAGAGGCAATGTTGGCTTACTGCTCAGAGCGCTATGATGTCAATGGGCACCTTGAGTGATTGGGTAAGAAAAAAATTAGTCTGATGTGGCGGGATGTGTTTCCCGTTGCCTTTATCATGTAATGGTGGGTGTTGGGGCAGTGGGAGCCCCATTCATATGATTTATTGAGTCAGATGTACAAATTTTGGGTTTTTTGGTGCAAATACTTTTGCACTATTACAACTTCATGTCACTACCACCTTCAAACTTCTGAAGACTGACAGTTTTTGCCCGTTCATCTAGTTTGTATTTCATTTTTGTTTTCATCTTTTTAAAAATATGGCAACGTCAAGGTGATTCCCATAAGTCTGTTATGATTTCATAGCTCAGAATAGTTTCTAAACAACTACCACTCATCCAGCTATAGAGCCAGGAGATTGGATAAAATGTTTTTTTTTTTAAATAAAAGCATTACAAAGCCAACCAGAGAAATAAAACGCATTAAGTTTAAAAATAGGAATAAAATAATAGGTTTAAGAGGACAGATGTCTGCTAAAAGAAAGAAAAACACATTATAATCTCCTTTTATTTGTAAAAACTGTTAGGATTTAGTTTCTTCTTCATGATCAGGGACTACTACCATCTTGTTAAATCCAGGGGCTCCAACTTTATTTGATGAGAGTGACTTGAGCTGGAAAGATTTTGGTCACAGCAGTTCAGTGAAAACAGGAACTCAAGTATGGGCTTATAGGGAATTTTATTGCAGCGTTTCATAAAAAAAAGTTTTTCTGGACACACATGCTTCTGGAAAGACCTCCACAGTTTTTTTAGCCTTTAAAATGCCAACTCTTGTCTGCTCATGGGGCCCTGATTAGGAAAAGATGGAGGACGAAAATTCACAGACATGCTTCCAGTCAGTTTACGAGGTACAAATGGAGACTCTGCTGCCAAGTAGAGGGAAAGCTTTCACACTAAAAATAAAAATCTGTGGAAATGCTTTTGGAAAGTCCTTCATTTTCATTTGGCTGCGACCACATTTGAACAAAATAAATGCCTCACATTTAGCCAATAAAACCATAACATGTTCCCCTATAATAACTCACCTGCATCTCTGTTAACCAAACCGAAAAGGTTATGCACCAGAATTTAAGGCATAAGTTTTTTTTTTTTCTGTCAAAGTTCTCATTTGTGTAATTATAGAACCACAGAATTTAATGACTAGTGAAATAACTTCATCAGCTTTCAAAATTATTCCTGCTTCTTACACTTTTTAAAACTGTTCATCAGTGTGTTTTATTTTGAATTTTTACCAATAGACTAAAAAGTGTGGTATACCGGTATAGCTTCTCCCCCTTTCCACTAATACCTGAAAATAACCAAATTGATTATCTCTAGAAGTCACCTAAAGTCTTTCTTTGTGCAATTTGATCTGAAGAAATGCAACTTTGGTGTGGGGTTTGTTGGCGAACAAACCCCACAGGTTGAACCAGCAGCATCATTTTCTAAAAGTATCTAAAAGAAAAAAAAAACATCTCTAAGCTACAGTGAAATACTGGCAGTTGTGTTTCCCAGAATTTTATTATACTTTACCAAATACGGCAAAATTCTGCCAACCACAGCTGCTGATATTTTACCGTAAATTAGTCTTCTCTTTTTTCTTTTTTTTTTTACAGTGCAGCTTGCAGTTTCGCTTTACCAACACTGTGCAACATGGTGGTGGTAGTATCATGCTCTAGGAAGTCAGAGTTCATGGGAAGATGGAGCTGAATGTGGGGACAATACTGGAGGAAAACTGCTTAACAGCAGCAAAAGCAGGACAACAACCCCAAACAACGAGCGCTAAAATGGAACGGCTTAAATCATGTGCGATCAAGTCAAAGCCCGAACATAAATCCAACCAAGAATCAGTGGTAAGACCTGAAAACTTATGTTTACTAACGCTCTCCATCTAATCACCCCGAGCCTGAGCTGTTGAAAAGGGAAGGATGGGTCAACCTCTTCTAAAAGACATGTGGCTGCAAGAATGTGGTTCCTCAAAGTACTGACTCAAGGAGGCTGAAAGTGAACACAAAACACAGTTTCAGTGCTTTTTACTGTCACTAAAATACATTAATGTCTACTGCTGTAACATGAAAAGGAAAAGAAAAATTTAATAGGGTGTAAATACCTTTGCGAGGCACAACGTAAACTAGATCAACGGGCAAAAACTGTCAGTCTTCAGATGTTTGAAGGAGGTAGTGACATGAAGTTGTAATAGTGAACAGTGGTTCTAAATTCCAACCAGGTTTTTTTTTTTAAATGTTTGTGGAATGGCACAGTGTGAAGAATTTCAAAGGATGTGGATATGTTTTTTTTTTCTTCTTGCAAAGCATGGTAATTATGCGTGAATATCAGTTACAGCCTGTCAAAATTTCAGGATACATTAGAAGAAAACAGTGGGCATATGGTTAATGTGGTACAACAACACATTTACGGTCCTGACATGCAACATAGCCCCTCTGCGTGTCTACAAAATAACAAATTAAGCCTATTTGCTAACCCTGAGAGCATGATTCCCTGTGATGTTCTATGTCTTCTATGTCCTCTCTGACTCAGAGCCTCCTAAACTTCTGAGTGTTGGTGGTTGTGTCCTCAGAATAGCCACACCACAGACCCGTCTGGTGGCATTCAGAGCAGCACGCAAAGCCAGGCATCACAAATTGCCATTCCAAAAATGCAGAAAGACAAGATGCAGACAGCCAGACAGCAAAGCACTATGATTCTTTCCTCTGCAAAAGAATGGACAGTTTCAAGTGTCATTAATGGATTTATTTTGATGATTTAAGTTTACATGAGGTAACATTGAATTTCGTCAAAATGACATGGAGTTATGCGTCTTTGTCAGGGTTTTTGAACTTAAATTAGACCAATAATGGAACATTTAGAATTAATCCATTTTCCTTTTATTCTGAATTGAAGGCAACCCTAAACAGATGCATGTTTGGCCTCAGAGCTTCAGCACTTTGCAGTTTTCTGGAAGTTTGATCCAGTTTGGAGCATAAAACCTAAAGTCTGCTTGGTTCTGATTCTGGGGATGCCGTCAGATCATTTCAGCCCATGTTCCGATATATTGCTCTATTTATAATTTATTGTAGGAAGTGAAATGGGTTAAGAGTTACATTGTTAATAATAAGTACACAGATGTTGATCTGACCAGATCTCATTTTAAATTCTCTTTTACTTTTGCTTAGGTTTTTATGCTGACCTCACTTTTATTTATTTATAGCAATATTTATATATTTACATTCATATTTAAATTTAGTTGTCAGCCATGAGTTTATTTATATTAATGTTTTTCTAAAAATGTTTATGTATTGTCTTTATATAAATATTTATTATATTTTTGTATTGTTATGGTATTTTCTTTTTAATAATATTTAATTTTATTTAGTTTTTGGGAAAGTGTAATTTTTCTGGTATTGAAATAAATACTTTTATTTATTTATCTATTGATTGATTTGTACCTCTGGTAAAATCCTGTCTTGGGATTGCGTGACCCTCATAATAACTCATGCAGGGACACAGTACCAGCGTTGCTCTGACAGGTGTGTGAAAATGTCCTCTGATGTCTTCGTTCCCCTTTCAGTGCCACGGTTTGTTCTCTGTTCCCCAGGCTGACGTCGCCGTTGGCTTGTGTTAGATCGGAAACCTGTGGTCTCCGTGTAATCCAGGCTCCCCTCAGAAGAGTCAAATATACCTTTTCGGGCCGGGGCTTGATGACAACATCCCCGGTTAATGTGGTGAGCGTTAAATCAGAGCCGGGCTCCGGCTTTGAAGCCTTTGTTAATAGCCGGGAGAAGGTAATACCTCCAGTCACACAAAAGAAGAGGAGTTGTATGATTCATATCTCATAAAAGACAACATCTGCTGTGAGCATAAGTGACACAAAGCTCCACTTTTACTCTGTGGTGGGGGAAACTGGTCTGTGGATATGCTTCCCAGCTCCCAGCTCTTATTAAATTTTGTGATAAATGTTAGAATGATGGACACACGTGTTCCCTGATGACTGGAGTAGGTGAGTCTTCCAGACAACCTGCCCTACAGGAGAGGCATGACAATGTTTTCTGACTCAGGTTACAGCAAAGGAGCCTGGAACAGGCTGATGGAGACTTTGTTTGATGTTGAAAAGAGAGAAGCCCGTGGGAGAACAGCGCCCGAACCTGGGAAAGCTGTGAAAAGGCACCTCTCAACAATGCAGTTGTGTTGTGTTAAAAGCACACATCAATATTGCTATTTAAGCACTTAGGCGTCGCTGACAATTTGTTACGCGTTGGCATTGTTTTGCTCGCTTTGAGCAAAGGATTGAGTGTGATTTAATCCAACCACTGCAGGAAAACTGATCTCAGCAAATCCAGAATATAGTGAAAAAAAAAATAAATTAAATAATAATAATCCTTCTACCGATACAGCTATTTACAAAAATGAAGCTGAAAGCCAAGCAGAAATTTCTGGAAATGCAGTGTCTGATTTTGTAAGTTTGCTTGTTTGCACAGAAACAAAAAGTCTCTTAAAAAAAGAAAAAAGCATTTAGTCATAAACAGAGAAGGAGAAATAACCGAAGATCTGAAAAAAGTACAGTTCATAAAAGTTCAAATTGAGTTGCATGTCACTGAGTGAAAGAGGGTGATTGGTTCCCAACAAAACATGGGTAGCACTTGGCTTTGAGAATTTGTTTTAATGGCAAGCATAGCAGTGAGATGTTTTTATAGTTGGTCGCCAGGTTTGCACACATCAGGGATTTTGGCCCACTCCTTTATCCATCCTGTAATCCTTCTTGGTTTTTGGCAGCAGCTTGGCACCTCACAGCCACAGCTCTTATTACACATGTCCTGTAAAAATGAAATCTGGAGATAGTCCATTCTTTACTGATATCTTAAGCTACAATTTTGTTGCTTTAAAGGTGAATTTTGTTGGTGATTGTCGGTTTTAATTCATTCTAACTATGTAAAAATGAGTAGATTTATTTATATTTTCTAGAAATTTAGCATCAAATTAGTTGGAGGAATGGAAATGTATTGAAGTGACTTAAGGGAATACCTAAAATAATTTCATGTCACGAAAATCACCATTTTTTTCATTAAAAAACAATCGTAGAATCAGAAAAGGAGTCACGTGTAAAAAAATTAATTAATTTCACTTATAGTTGAATTTCAGACATTGAATCTTTGTAATAAAGCACTTTATCAAAGTGTTTGTCAACATTTTTACATCTCTGCTGATACAATCCATTAAAAGATTTTTATGTCCTTGACCCAGATTTGAGTTCAGTTAACAATACAAAATAATAGAAGAGAATAAGAGTCAGGCTTAGATGAACCTGATCACGCAGCAATCTCTAAATCAACCAAATCCCAATTAGGGAAAAATAATCACAGTTCGTGGCTCAGTGCTGCCATCTGCTGGATTTCTCTCAGTCAGTTTGCGCGTTTCTTCCTCCTAGTGGTCTGGTCTCTCCACTCTGAAATTCATAGTCACTACGTCCTCGATGCCAGCCTGCAGCTCGTCGTGCTCCTGCACGGCGGAGACCCCCTTAGGGGTCCCGGTCAGGATGAGATCCCCCTCCTCCAGGCTGATGAATTCGCTGATGTAGCTGATCAGATAGGGTACAGAGAAAATCATCTGCGAGGTGCAGCCGCTCTGCCGAAGCTGGTCGTTCACCTTCAGCCAGAGCCGGACGCTCCCCGGGTCAGGGATGCGGTCTTTGGGGATGAAGTCGCTGACAGGGCAGGAGGTGTTGAAGGCCTTGGCCAGGGTCCAGGGCAGACCCTTGGACTTGCACTCGTCCTGGACGTCCCGGGCTGTCATGTCCAAGCACAGCGCGTACCCCGCTACGTGCTCCATGGCGGCGGACTGGGGAATGGCTGTGCCGCCTTTGCCGATGACCACCCCTAACTCCACCTCGTGGTGCAGGTTGCTGCTGTAGAGAGGCACCAGGATGGGGGAGCCCTCTCTCACATACGCAGATGGCGGTTTCAGGAACAGGACGGGCTCCGTGGGAATGGCGTTTTTAAGCTCTTTTGCGTGGTCCGCGTAGTTTCTCCCCACGCAAATTATCTTCCGTCCCCATTCCCAGAACCGAGAGATATTCCGCGCTGCCATCTTGGGCAAACTTTACCTTAGTGAGTCTAGTTTGAGACGCTGCGATTAGGTCATTCCTGGAAACTTTGACCGACCTTAAATGAAACCATAGAGATAGAGGAATGAGATGCCTCTCTGGCCTCGTTTACCCGAAGAGGCGAGGCTTCAGCACGTCCGCCATATTACGAGTGGCAGGTTTGCATTTGAAAGAAAGAATTTCAGTTCATTCAGTAAATTCCATAATCTACCCATCTGTTAACTATGTCTGTGTAAGGTTGGGTACATACTGGAAAGGTCCCCAGTACATTGCAGGTCAACACCCACCCCCCCCCCCCCACCCCCACACACACACACATGGACTGAGAGGACCATATTATCCAAAGAAAATATGGAGAACAGGCTGGGACTTGAACCCAAAATCTTCTTGTTGCAAGGTAACCAGGCTAGCTGTTAAACCATGCAGCCCAAATTTGAGTATTATCAGGAAATAAATAATTTGTTTCTCAAAATATACTATCCATCTTTTTCTCCACACGTCTATTCTTCTCTGTACATCAGTCAATGTATATATTTGTGAATCACTTTTTTCTGTCTACTCCTCTATACATTACTTTCTATTTCTTTTCTCCATGTAGGGTTATTTTGGGTTGTAATGATGCATTTACAAACAACAACAATTTTAAGGTGATTTGAATAAATAAATAAATCAGTAAGATAAAATAAAAAAACATAAATATGCAATGAAATGAAAATTAACAAATTCAACTGAATATAACAAAAAAATACACCGACACAAATATTATCTAATAATAATAAAATATAAGTTTAGGACTTACTGAGTTAAGTCTGACACTCACAATATGGCGGCGACGTCCCAGCCAGGAGATTATGCGGCGTCTATCGCGCCTGTATCTATGCCAAAGAACTTTACCATCAACCTACGGCAAGCCAGAGGAAACCAATGCGTAAATAAAACCATTCATTTTTCACATTTCATCTGTTTATTACGTAAATATTTGTCACATAAATGCATATCACGTAAACAAAATAAACGGAAAGTGTTGATCAAATGCGTACCAACAGATTGATTATCATAATTTCGACAAAAAAAAAAAATACCTTCGAGATTTGATTGGTAATGTCTTCGAGGATGGCGCTGATAAGGAGGCGGAGGCGGAACTGAACCAAAACCAAACTTTTCTGGTTAGTTCTGCCGTGATAAGATTTCAGTATCTGTAATGTTGATCAAGTCACTTGTGGGGAGTGCCTGCACTCTGATAGGAGCAGCTACAGCCATAAAGTTCGGTATGTCCGAAACGCTTTACAGTTGGCTAGCACGTTAGCCTGATTAAGTTCGATGTCACGTACTTATATGCTGGCGATGTGTTTATGTTTATGTTTGTGTCTCCAGTGAGGTGAGTGAATACAGCTGGCCTGTCTCTGTGTTACTGTTGTGACAAAACTCATTCATAAAATCGCATACAGTAAAGTTGTAACCGATGTTCAAATATGAACTAAAAAAACAACAACAGCAAAAGAAACGATTGTGTCTTTAAAGAGGAACGTTAAGCTAACGTTCAATCTTCGGCTCGTCAACAAACCATCCGTATGCTTTCACTTTTAATAGCATAAAGCATGTTCTTATGCGCAAGTCGCAGCAATAGGTCTAAAGTCAACCTCGGAGTGTTTGTGTCAACACATGTGGTCTTGTGTTCTTCCATGAAGCGCCTGTGGAAGTGAAAGCCCAGACAGCCGCTCTCCTTCACAGCACGGTGAGGAAATCCCACCTGGTCCAACAAGCCAGCATGAGGGTCGAACTGCTGCCTGCGCTCAGTGACAACTACATGTATCTGCTGATCGACGAAGAGTCAAAAGAAGCTGCCATCGTTGATCCAGTGGAGCCAATAAAGGTCTGTGCTTATGATGGCAAATGAAACGTGTAGGTAAAGTTTTTGAATGACAGCATCAGCTGGGTTTCATTTGATTCATTTTGTCCTTGCATAGGTTGATGAAATATTAAATTAGTAGATTTCTCTTGGAACTTGAGAACTTCTTCTTTCATGGTGAATGAAAGAAGAAACATGGGAGATCATGTAAGCTGTGTGGCTATGATGAAATTAAGGGGTTTTGAGAGGATGAATCAGTCAGTCAAATGACTGGAGTGAAAACGGCAACTGCAGGCTCATCGATATTAGCGCATCTGCTTCGAAAAGCATTTTAAATTTGATCTTAGAACACTTGTTTTGGACAAAAGAATGAACAGAAAATGAATGGAAAAGCATCTAAAGTCCAAAGAGAAAGTCAGAACTAACTTCAGATAACTTGGAGAACCATTAATCACACTGAAGACCGGCTGCAGATATGTTGATTTAATACCTAGTTTAAGATTAACTTAAGAAGTGAGTGTGCATGGCTGTTTGCTGTGTCTTTCTGTTTGTCCTGTGACGTTCTCCACCTCTCACCCTATGGCAACACAGACAGACTCTAGACCCAGCTCTCTTCCACCCTACATCAGATGAGGCAGTAGAAATTGGTAGACAAATTGGTAAATGATAAATAAGAGTTTGTTTTTTCTTGGCAGAGGGTGTTTAACTCTGTTATTTTTTGTGTCTTTACTTAAAAACTACTGCATTAAGAACTGAGTAACCTCAGTGTGCCATTACATTTTGAAGAGGCCTGCTAATAAACCATTCATATGGTAAGAATTTTATTTTTTCAGTTTCTTATTTGTCTGGGGTAGGGGGGGAGGGAGGTTGTTTTTTTTTTTCCACTTAGATGCGTGAAACAAGGGGGATGCTGGATATTTAGGAGTGGAGACGGTCATTCCTGGTCTATGCAGTGTATCAAACATGAGATACACTGTTAGATACAGCACCTTGTATTCTCAGTGCTTTTGAACACATTCAAGGCTCTATTGACACAAACTCCTTTTACTTCACATCTTCTTCACACCAGGTGACTCAACCTGAAATGCAAAGCCTCCACCGTCAGTCTTTCCTTGCTCGATTCACAGCACGAATGAATCCCATTTTAGCTCTCACCAGCTGTTTTTGTGGCACTAACATATCCTTACTCTCTAACATAACGTCAGTTCTTTTTCTGCCTTCATCAGGTTGTGGAAGCTGTCAGAAAGCACGGCGTTAAACTCACAACCGTTCTGACTACCCATCATCACTGGTACGCTTCATATTAACGTTTAGCATTAACAAGTTTAACCCAGGTGCAAACATGTACCGGCCTGACACAATTCAGGCTTTATCCATCCATACATGTTTTAAACCTGCAACGCACCTCTTCTTCTGCTCTGGTAGGGATCATGCAGGTGGAAATGAGAAGATGGTGAAGCTGATGCCAGGGCTGAAGGTCTACGGAGGAGATGACAGAGTCGATGCAATAACGAAGAAAGTTTCCCACTCAAACACCCTCAAAGTAAGAGAAAGCATTGTTCTTTCCTTATTGTGATACAACAGTAAGCTCCACCTGGCTAAGGAGCTCACCTTTTATTTATTTTTAATTTTTTTAAAGCTTGGATCACTCAATGTGAAATGCCTGTTCACACCCTGTCACACAACTGGCCACATCTGTTACTATGTGACTAAAGAAAGCAGCTCTGAGCCGCCTGCTGTTTTCACAGGTTTGCAAATGCCATGACTTTTTCTTACACATTCTGTTTCAATGCAATATAAGTTGCAGCTCTCGCTCTTTTTTTTGTTTTTGTCTTTTTCTACATGCAGGCGACACGTTATTTGTGGCCGGCTGTGGTAAATTCTTCGAGGGTACAGCAGAGCAGATGTACAAAGCTTTGATAGAAATCCTGGGACGTCTTCCCCCTGAAACGGTAAATGTAGCACCATGTAAATCAAATATGTGTGTATTCACTTGGGATTTTATATGATAACCTGACACAGAGTAGTTATTCATCATAACTCTGGGACTAAAAAAAGAATAGTGCACTGTTTTAAAAAGTTTATGTTAGAAATTGTAATTACAAAAACAAATCTGAATCTAAAAAACTGACCCAATCTATCTGTGCTTTAATCTACTTTACTACATTATCCGAACTGTACTGATTGTATGTACATGAAGATTTCATATTGTTGTATTTTAAAACAAAAACACATCATCACTGATTTTTTTTTTCCTCCAAAGCATCTTAAAATGTAGACTAATTGAACCAATAAAAGAGCATAACCTTTTATTGTTTGTTTGTTTTTTGTGTTTTTTTTTTTGTGTGTTTTTTGACATAAGTGCCAATTAGAGAATTGGCGCTTATGTAAAACTGAGTCTCCCATGACAAAATTTCAAAGCTAAAAACTTACTTTCTTCCAACATTTTGGAGATAAACTTAAAAGTTATTTCCAAAATCAATAGAGATATGTTTACAACATAACCTGATAGTTTCTAGTTGTTATAACAGGAAGAACCTAACTTTTGTTTTTCTTTGCAGCGTGTTTACTGTGGCCATGAGTACACGGTCAGCAATTTGAAATTTGCCCGCCATGTTGAACCGCATAATGAAGTCATTCAGAAGAAGCTTGCATGGGCAAAGGTACTGGACTTTTGTCAGATGTCTAAAAAAACATCCAAGTCTTTGTAGAGATTAAAGCTTCCTGTGTGTTTGCTTTTTTTTCTGCAGGAGAAGTGCAGTGATGGAGAGCCAACTATCCCGTCCACTTTGGCAGATGAATTCACATTTAATCCCTTTATGAGAGTGAAGTATGTACAGCCTGACTTAGCACTTGTTCAATTAGAGGATTGGAGCTTATTTAAAACTAAGTAAAGAGGTGTTTTTTTTTCTTTTCTTTAAACTCACTCTCATTCACTTTGATATTACTTGTAGAGAGAAATCTGTTCAAGACCACGTGAAGCAGACCGATCCCATTGAAACCATGAGAAGCCTTCGGAAAGAAAAAGACAGCTTCCGGGTCCCAAAGGAGTGAAGTCCAGTGTGTTCCTGTTTTTACCCCCTTAAAGAACTGCAAGTTCTACATTATATTAAAGAATAACGACAATTCAACCTCAACACCATTTAAAATGGATCCACTACATTTACCCCTTACTGAATGTAATAGCACTATAGACTCAGATGTATGAAAATACTAGGTGTTCTCATCCTGCTTTGTGAGGTCTGTTTGGCTGATGGTGATGGAACTGGTTT